TTCCATGAACATTTTGAAGCCTCCTCATATACTGATTTTATGTTGCTTAGAAACGAGGGGCTTAAAATTAAAATAGCGACAAACATATTTGGCCAGACCCTTCTTTCCTTAATTTTCTACTACAATATAGTAAGCAACAAGAAACACTTAGTTAAAATTAAACAAATCTAGGCAAAATAGAAAAAAATTTGAGAACACTAGCTCAAAAATTCCCATGTAATCTTAGATATCAAGGCCAAAATTGCCTTCAACAAAAGTGTAGCTAAAATGATAAATTATTACATATAAATTTGGTATTTTGACCTAGCTTAGTAAATATTCTTCATTTCCTAAAATGTAAGGCCGCTGGTGACGCCGCAGCCAGCAGTTTTAACCTACCAGCCACTCTGTAGGAGGAAGATGAGGCTACCTGCTTTCATAAAGATATACAGTCTCAGAAACACTATAGAGCAATTCTAACCTGGCTTATACGTTTGCTAAGAGTCAGGATTGACAGTAATGATATTTGGTTTGGTTTAGGGTATAATTATTTTTATCCTTTATCATCCTTTGTGAATTTACATTTTTAAAGTATCTTTGAGAGTATTAAAATGATAAAATCTTTGATTAATGCTACCTTTCCAGTGCTCAATGACACTGAAGAATGTACACATGAAAGATGTGTACTATGTAAAGAAATTAAAGCAGAGCCAGTTTCTGTGGAATGACTAACTTATGTGTGTTAGAGAATTTGTCTATGGATAATCTTGTCAAAGTAGCTCACCACGCCTTTCTTCTGAGATACCTCTAGATGGATACAAAGCTTCGATTTTCTAGTTAGTAGCCAAACAAGTTAACCATTTGCACTACCCAAGGAACTACATGTATTCCAAAGCAGGTACTTATAAAAAAAGAAATACCTGGGACCCAAATATGAAGCGGTATATCTGTGTCCAGCACTTTAGTACAAATGTTGACTTCATCATTCTTACGACACCCACTTCCCACTTGAGCCCCTGGTTTCAGCTCATTTTTTCCTCTCCCTCCTCGCTCCCCTCGAGCCCCCAATGGTTTATAATTTATTATTATTTTATCATAACTTACCCCATCCCACATCTCCCTCATCCACTTCTCCGCTGTCCATCCCCCAGGGGGGAGGCCACAGTAGACCTTGTCCTCTGTTCCCCCTTTCTCCCTCTCCTTCCCTCCACCCTCCCGCCATCGCCACTCTCTCCACTGGTCCTGGGGGGTTCATCTGTCCTGG